AAAGTATCTAATGATAAATACTACTGGCATCATCAGCTGCTTGGACCCCAGTCCCCTGGCACCGATGCATGCCCTGAACCAGGCCCCACTTAAAAATATTTCCCCAGTGACTTGTGGTTTGAATCAACTCTATCTACCACTTTTTAAAATACCCACAATGCCCAGAATATTACCTTAGGGACATTGTGGGAAATTAATATGGCATCCCTGAATTCTATTCAGAGAGCTGCTGCTGCTGCCTGCTACTCTCGCAACCACTGCTTGGACTAGTTTATGTAAAGGGCCCAGCAGAGGACAATTTTGTCAAAGGCCCTCAAGATGTAGAGCTGGACTCATTTGTAACAGCCGTCATGAGCATGAGTGATCTCTCGAAGAGCTAAGACAGAAGAATACTAGAAACCAACTGCCAAAATTTCAGCTGGTTATTGCAGACAAATTTGCAAATTTCATCATTCACCTTTGCATTTCCCAGCCACGTACACCTCTTCTCTCTGCCCATTCTTTTTTCTAGTATCCATTTCCCTCTCGTGCTTTTATTTCTCAACATCTTCTCTTCTCTATCGTGTATCATTTTGCTTTCCTGTCTTTCTGCTCAATTCCCCACTGCTTCCCTAAGTCTGTGCTACCTCAGGCACATCCCAGCTGTCCCTTCCCTAGTTCCCTGCTTTGCCTCTCAATGTCTACTCAATATCTGTTTAAGTAGGTCCACCAAATCAGGGCAATTCTCATCACCTCCAGCTGGTCCTACATCCTGCTCCATAACACATGGTTCAAGAAAGCCTGACTTTCCAGAAAGACTTTTTCAGGGGGCACACATGGCTGCAGCGAGGAAGAGGTGATGGAAAACTTTCCTTTCCTGCACTTTGAATTAATTCAGCTTATTGTCAGAACAGACATCTATTTAAACTTGCATCTAATGGTTACATCTCTTTATCATGTTGACTTTAGATCTGGATCTTAAAAGCCCCCTCTGGCTCCCCACTAGGGTTCTCTGTATATACTCTAAGATAAAAATGGTGGGGGAAGATGTAACTGCTAGACACATATTTAAAGTATGCATAATATCTTAGGTTTAGAGGCTGATTCTGGGTTTTGTTTTGTTTTTAATTCCAACAAAACACCTGTTTCATCTATTGCAGTTTGCTTTCACAAAACCTACCTTCATTCTTTATTCAAGGCTTATTGTGTGCCTGAATTTGAGCAAAAATGGCACATTGATCAGATAAAAAATAGCCTTGAAAAGTGTACAAAATGGAATGTTTCCATGAGGAATGAAGAGTGAAATCATATTTGGAAAGCAATTGACAAGTCTGCTTTAGTAGTTAGTTTGAACAACCACAACATCATTAATAACAACTACGAGCATCTTTACTTCTAGGGTTCATTCTTCGCTGGTTAAGATGAAGAGAAGCAAATCTTATTATGCAGCAAGATTTTGAAATTGTCCTAAGATAAGCAGCTCTTTTCCATTGGTTACTTGTTCATAATAGTATTGTGGTTTCTACTGACAACTCTTAGGAAATGACTCTGATTCTGTACTTTGGCCATTTATCTACTTTCTGAGCTTTTGAACTTGACAGATTTGTTTAGCTGACAGGTTTATTTTTTAAAAGCAAGATTAGTGATGTTTATTAAGTAAATGTTTTTTTCCTTCTTTTTTCTTTTCTAAGAGCCACAAGCAGTCATCTGTAAAGCAACCTTAGTAAAGCATTACTTGGAAATTTCCTGTTTTCTGCACAAACTGTTATTCATATACAGTATAAAAATAAAGATTTTAAAAATTATCAAGAATCTATTCAGGAAAAAAATCCCTGAAATGAATTTGCTTCTTGGCATTTAGAAACTAAGTGGCCTAAAAGGGAAAAAAAATGCTTAGCAGTAATCTGCATTGTGGAATATGAAGCAGACCTGAGAAAGTAATTAATCCAGAAGAGACACCCATGATGCCAGTAGAGTTTAGACCAAAAAACAAAAAAACCCCTATCTGAAAGAAGAGCATTATGCTAAATATCTATGAAAAATTACCACTAACAATGAAATAAACATGCTGGGTGTTAGTATCTTACATGATTTGTTGAAAAGGAGGACTGGAAAGGAGTTAAAGCACATCCTTATGCATGTTTATCTGGCAGCATGCCTAACTGCAGCCTTCTGAGGCCATCAATCCCGTGCGCATTTCACATGGGAAAAAGCCCCGCTGAATTCAGTGGGACTTCTTTCTATGTAAACACACATTGGAAAGCTCTGCATATGGCACCGAAATGCCTTTTGTGATAGCATATTTCTCTCTCTTTCTTCTAGCTTAGGTCCCCAGATGTGATTCGAATGCACTTCTCATTAGTCCCAGCCAGCATGGCCAGTGATCAAGAATGATGGGAGATGTGGTCCAACAACATCTGGTGACCTAAGGTTTGGGAAGCATGCTCTATACAGATGATGACTAAATATATACACAAATAGAGAAAGGAAAAAAATAATTATTTGTGAAACCTTTAGACACAATCTCCCTAAAACTCTTCCCAATATACCAATTTGATATCACCTGGGGAGGAAGGCACCTAACTTGTTCTTTATACCTTCCAACATACCCTCCATAAGCCCCATTTTCAAACATTTTTACATCACCTATCATTAACCTCCACCCTCCCTCCCTCCCTGCCCCAGACAAAAGAAAAAAACAAAAAAACGCATCCATTAAAATAAGGTCCTTATAATCAGGCAAACCAAATGGTCATGCCTAGTCTTACAACTGAATTGAACTCTCAAAACTGTGTATGTCTTTTAATGTCTTAACTAATTCCTTGAAGATTGAGGTCTCCAGACAGGAACCAGTTAGAAATTCTGAAAGAAAAGGAAAATATCTGCAAAATTAATCATCTCAATGTGATTATTACTTATGCACTGTAAAATTCTGACATGTGGTTTTTAATGACCAGTTGTGCATGTGGGAGGACCAGCGGCACATGACCCAGTGGAGCCTTCTTTTCTTTGGCTGTCCTCACAAATATTGTGCAGCCACACATGTTGTGGACAGTGTACTGGCCAATATTCAGAATGGAAGACTATTGAACTCCCCTCTGCCCCCTGAGTCAGCTACTTGCCCCTGTCCTTCCAGAGGTCCTTAACAAGCAAATTGCTCCTGCTGCCTATGTACAGCCAGGGAAATTGCTTAAGAAAAGAGGAATTCTCCATGGAATTCTCTGTCATTCTGCTCATAGTTGCACCCATGTTTCTGGCTGCACTGTGGGTTTCCTGCTGGCTCCAACACCTTGTATAGCGGGAACCCAGTGCCAGTCACCTCAAATTGCCACTTGGGCACTTTGGAGCTCGCTGGCTCTCACAGTCCGCTTGCTGCTTTTTTGTTCTCCTTGCCAAGCAGCTCCATAGCAGATTCCCCCCACACATTATGGAGTCAGTCATCCAGATTTGGTCAGCATGATAATCCTTTGTAGGTTCAATCCCTGCAATAGCCCAGGGATTGCTGAGGGGGCTTGTTGCCCATGAACAAACCACCCTGGGAAAATTGGTCTGAGTTTGTGTAGCAAATTGTCACATGGATCCCATAGTGGGTAGCAATGGACTTAGCTTTGAGGTGAAACTCAGAAAGAGTTGATGAACTCAAACCTCAGTGGAATTGCAATCCACATCTAGACTCTATCCCAAGAAATGGCTCTTATACACTCTACAGAAAATGCGGCATGCGACTGCCAATGTTTGCAACCATGTTGTTCAGTAGGACTGATAAACAAGAGGTTTCTGAAAGAACATGGACGAGGTCATGCCAAAGTTAAATATGTGTTTAAATTGCTGCCTTTGAAAACAGTATACATTTGTAGAAAATGTAGAAATTAGAAAAAAGTGTATACGTTTGGCAGGATGGTATATCACATTGCAGTGCAGGCTGGTTCAGGGAGCTCTTTACAGTTGGACAAGAAAGAGCAACATCAGGCAATTCAATTGAAAAGTTATCAGTTGTGTTTTAGCTTCCAAAATGAACTTGCAGCTCTATTCCATTGTACAATCTGAAGCAAAGCAATGTTATTGGGACAAACTGTACCATCTATACCATTGGAAAATAAGTGCAATGGCATTTGCATCAAAGGACATCATGGGTCTTGCTTCCCTCTGAAACCATAATCCCCAACATCATCCTCTCCTCTTTTGACTAAAACCTCATTTTGATTAAAAATGGTATGTTTTACATTTAAAATTATATATATGATCAAATACTAATTAGTAGATAAACAGGAAAAAGGTAATCCTTTTTGGAATGTGCTCCCTAGAGAGGTCAGGCTGGTGCTATCATTATATGCTTTTCGGCACCAGGTCAAGACCTTTTTATTTGACCAATAGTTTAACATAAAGTAATTTTAATTGCATTAGATTTAATTTATTTTAAATAGGTTAGTTTTATGATCAGTTGTGGAATAGTTAATTTATTTTATTTAGGGTTTGAAATAATGTTGTAAGCCGTCCAGAGATGACAGTGATGGATGGCCTACAAATTTTCTAAATAAATAAATAAATAATCCTGGCAATCTGGAAGAGAAGTGCATTGTCCTGGCAAACTCCCCTAGAGAGAATACTTTGGCTCTTCAGTGTTACTGAAGAGAAGGCCTTGTCCTGGATTGCCATGCACCATCCAAGAAAGACCTGAACAGGTAAGTAAAGTCACATGGGAACAAGGAGTCCTTAAAGCACCATGGGCCCAGGTAAAAAGCATCACTGAAAATTACCCGGGAAGCCTATAAAGATGTAGCAAAATTGGTATACATGATCCATACATCAGACAACACACAAGTCACCATGTTTTAAGGCAGTTACAGTTTCTGGACATTGCATAATGGAAGCTCCACGTATAGCACATCATTCTAGTTTAATCTAGACATGACTGAAGTATGACTTGTGTCTCTCATAGCTGCCAGTCTTGCTTTTCTCCAAGTTTGAAAATGTGCACCATTATTTACCTGCAATCGAAACCATGCAACAAAGATCTCTTCCTAGAATCTGGAAGACAGGGTCCTGAAAGAGCTTCCTGTTAAGGATCCCATCATATTCTTATCATATCCTTGCTGAAGAAGGAACCATGGAAACAAGAAAGGTAGTGGATCAGATAAGAAGAAGAAAAAATAAAGACCCACTTAATATTAGTAAGCCAAAAGAAACATTTCCCTAGAAGGTGAAAATCTGGGATTACTTGCAAGCTATGTATGCTGTATTTCTCTAAAACCACTTGGTGCAACTGTGGGAAAGGTTTGAACTTTCAAGCCATTAACCTGTAGATCTCATCTAAGCATGCACAAGCATTTTGTGAAGTTTCTGCATGCATAAAGTCCCAGTTTTGTAATTATTGTTTTCATTTACTTGCTACATTTTATTTTCTTTCTTGCGGTGGAACTTAGAACACATGGGAGGCCTAAACGGTCTTTTATTCATGTACTAACTGTGTCCAGACATCCTGAATCTATTAAAAATGGAACTCTCTTTCCTTCTGCATGGCTTCTCATCTGCAGAGAAAAGGAACTCTACATAAAAGGCTCTAGAAAAAGCAGTACCCTAAACACTCCACTGAAAATGCTGCAAGCAGCAGAGCATATACAAATTGTACAGAAATATGCAACTTATTAGACATATTGAAGAAATGGTATATCTGCAGGTGAGTGCAGCTTCAGGTGGTCCAGGGGTGGATTTCTACTCCCCTTGGACCTGCATGGATTGCATCCTCCTACATTGTGGCAAACAGAAAGAAAAAAAATGATGGTTTGCAGCCAAAATTCAGTGGAAGGCATCTGGAAAGCTTAGTGTGAACAAATTTATCTTGCTTTTAGTGATGATGGGATGTGACAGGAGCCATATTTAGGGATGGGGGTGCATGCCTCTCTGTGTTCAGTGGCAAGCATTCTGTACAGAAACTAAGCAAAACAGACTCTTTATTTTAAAAATGCTCTTACAAGCACTTTCACTCCTCTTTTCTATACTGTTTACATTATTTTAGAAGACATTCTCCACAGGTTTAGCAAAACTTCTTATTTAACTGGGTGGTGTTGTCCAGCTGTCACATTATTTTATTACTAATAAAACAGGGAAAAACAGCACTTTGTTCTTTTACCTGTTTCAGTATAGTATGGAACTCCCTGTTTGACCATAGGTCAGACAATAACATACGAGCCGCTTCAGCTGCTTTTGGGTAGGATCTGTACACAAGAAAAGAGGCAAAAATGCATCAAATATCATCAAAAACGACAGCTGGCATTAACACTGCACATCTTATAAACCAGGCCTCTCATAATGGTACTTGAAAGGCCCTTAGCTAAAACTGAAAAGTTCATCTTGGATTACTGATGATTGTTTGTGCTTTTGATAAATAGCCCTGATATTTTTTTCCTCTCCTCCTTCTGATCTATATTCCATCTTCACTGAACATTAAAAAGCAACAGGTGGAATAGTGAGCACATTTTTTCTGGGTGGATGCGGTAATAATGTCAGGCTCCATCACTGCAAGTAGAATGGTGGAAGTAACTCATGAGAACCAGTGCGGCAAGGTGGTGAGGGCAGGGGACTTGGTAGCCAGAGAAGCAGGTTCTGGGCCCGCTCAGTTGTGAAGCTCACTGGGCAACTTTGGGCCAGTCACTCAGCAACTGAATACTACAAATGGATAAGAAAAGCAAGGAACTGGATGCAGAGGTAGCTGTGCATATCTGGGCCGGTGGAAGGAGATTTCCCTGCCCCCTTCCATGTGGCAGCCTCTCCAGACAGCTCCCAAGGCACACAGTCAGAGGCACCTTCCATGACTGGAGCACCACTTCTGGAAAGGGGTTCTATTCAACTGTTGAAAATCCTCTTGTCCCCCTCAGCCCCATCCATCACAGCTTATCCCATTCAGCAGGGTCCCCCAGCTGCCTATGTAGCATCTTCGGAGAGCCAAAATGGATTGATGTGGAGAAGAAGGGGCAGGAGGTCCACCTTCACCAGCCTTCTTGCGCATGCCTACATCTGCATCTAGTCAATTGTACATGTTTGTATTACGATGTTTGTATTATGATGTGTATGATTTGATCATGATTATGATCCAATTCAGATGCTGTTCACAACATCTTGTAAACTAAACTTAGTTTACAAGGTTACCCAATGGCTATAAAGCACTATAAAGCGTTACTAAGTTGTCATTAGTCATGGTCTGACACCATTCCATGGTATTAATAATCCTCCAATTATGCCCATTACAAAGTTTAGGACATTGCTTCAATATGTAAAACCACAAATATTAAAATGTGTATTATGCTTTTATAGTAAGCATTCATATAATGCTTATTACAAACACTGTTCTGAAATACATTTGAAATAGAGAAATTGTAAGCTGAGAATCTACATTAACTAAAGTTATGCTGTCCCACTAAGCACTAAGTGGCAGGGGGGAGTGGTTGAGAGTGTCTGAGAAACTGAGAGCAATGCTGCCAGAAGGCCAAGAAACTAAAAGAAGACCATAGACTGGAAGGGCAGCAGTGAAGGCCAAGGTCATCCACTGCATTGTATTCCTGATCTGATTACTATGTCTGGGTGTGAAAGTTGGACAGTGACGAAAGCTGGCAGGAAGAAAACTAATATATTCAAAACATAGTGGTAGAGGAGAGTTTGTGAATACCCTCGACTGAAAGAAAGACTAGCAAGTGGGTCCTGGATGGAATTAAGCCAGGGCTTTTCCTGGGAAATGATGAACTTAGGGTATCATACTTGGGGCACATAATTAGAAGGCAAAACTCACTGGAGAGGACAATAATGCTGCAGAAAGTTGGGGACAGAAGAAGAAAAGGAAGGCCAAATATAGAGGAAGCCACATTCTTGAGTATGGAAAAACTGAACAGAGGTATCAGACAGGATACTTTGGAGGGCATTCATTCATTGGGTTGCTAGTTTCCCATACATCCACTCATCCTCACCATCACTCACCCATTTCGGCACAGGCTTACTACATTATTTAACAAGCTGCCTGTCAAATACGGCTTGGCCATTTGTGGGTTGGACATAAGTAGGTTCCTCAGGGTGTAGCAAGCAGATGTCATAATGTCTCCATAGTTGCTGGAACCTGGAGCCTGGAGGGCTAGAAGACGAGTCACATCTGGAAGCACCTGGTGAGCTAAAAAGAGGAAACAACACTACCATGAAATTAAAAAGCTACATAAAACTATTGTGACAAAATCTGGTCTAGAGTCAGGCTTTTTGGAAAATGTTAGTCATCTGCAGAGCTTTCACAACAGAGACTGGTTTGGCTGCAAGCAATGTGGCTCCACATATGTTAAAATGGACATACTAGTTTATGTATCATTTCTGGTGAAATTCAGACCTGACCTAAATGATGGCATACTCTACATCCAACCTGCAAAATCTGGAAACTTTATTTTACATAAGATAGAGGCAGCATGACCCAGAGATGCTTATATAACTCTGGTTTAGTGTGCTTTGTAGAAGAATGGAAGAAGCTGTCCATTGCAGTTCCTCTCAGTTTCACATTTTTGCAGTCTTAATACAACTCCACATGAAAATTCATAAACATTTTTGCACATTTCTTCTAATACATGCATTTTTGTATGAATTGCTAAGACATACATGTTTGCAATCCATTTTCCCAATATGGCAGATTTTGCACATCATTTCCCCTGACATATGCATTTTTAATGCAGTTTTTGATTGGTGAACTAATTCAAAATTGCAAAATTAGGTAAGCGCACAATAACATTAAACCAAACCAATTCCTTCCCCATCCCTAGTTCTATAGCACTAAACGATAGTTGATCTTGAGCAAAGAGGGCATATATAAGCAAGGAGAGGTTTTCAAACAGCAAAATGAGCAAGACAGAACAAGGAAGACACTGACTACTGAATTGGTTTTATTACTTTTTCCTTTTAAAATGCTTATTCTGACAGAGAAGATACCAATAATATTAAAAATGGATATCAAATAACACAGTACGACTTGTACGCTTTAAAATATATTATGAAGTGGAGAATGTGTATAAAGATAGACAAGATTCCAGATATGCCCATGGATTTTTTTTTTTAAAGGTACCTACCCATAGTTTTGTGGACTATAGGATGCCGAGACATATTGCTCAGTAAAGATGTGCCAGAACGGACAACCTCAGCATTACTGGACTGCAGGAGTCGAGCTATACGGGGCAAACCTTTCTCCTTTAAAGCAATCATCTGGCTCATTGCATTGGACATCTAGTAGAAAAAGAAAGTGGCATTCAGAATACTTTCCAGAGCTTTTGCTTCTTTCTCATGAAAATATGAAACCAATGAAAAGCTACATTATTTCAAATTAGGAAGAAGAGTAGAGTATCCAGAATTCCCTTATGAATAAAGCAATCAAATATCTGTTGGGAATGCTTGGTGCTATAGTGGAGCCAAGATGCACAGGGATGTATCATCAGCACTTCTGATTCGCAGGGGTGTTGATGTTCTCTGTCATCCCCATCCCTGAAACTTCCTGTTTCCTTGAGTTTAGCTGCAACCTTCACAACATTGCAAGAAAATTAATGTTTCCAGCAATAGTACATTTTTCCCTGTTGTAGCATTGAGTATTTTTGGATGGCTTAGTCTTGACTAGGCAATTAAATCCGATTAAAGATATGCTCCTTGTGGAGATAGAAACATAAATTCCACAACTGTCTGGAATTTTGGATTCTTCTTGGGGGTGTAACTATGGGGACTGCCATGATGAGTACCTGCACTCTAAAATTTACAATTACACCTCTGGAAACTGCAAATCATATTTGACATGTTATGCAGCCTGACCTCAAGGGAACACTGTGCACACACCCAAGGCATTATATGAAAAATTCTCTTTTTAAAAGCACAAAGGTAAATGAAAAATACTGAGCTTCCTATGGAATATTTTGCTGATCAAATTTTGATTTTTTTTTAAATAAAGTGAACAGTTGTGCCAGAATGATTAAATACCCTATTTCTATCAGTATGTTGGCTGAACCAAGGGCTAGACATGTTTCATATTTTGCTGGGTTTTGATCACACTAGCTGTCAGATTCATTTCCACATTTTTGTCTTTGCATTAAAGCGAGCAACTTTGTTCTCCCAAATGTGGAGGTGAAAATATTCTGTTTACCAATCCTCTGCTTGCAGTCAGGTTTTGCAGGGCTCCGGCACAGGCCTCCAGAGTGGCATCTTTCTTGCTTTGATTCATTAGAGACAGGTACGTGCGGATGGCATCTGAATGGTACAACCAGCTGGACCCTCTGGGTTTCAAATCCTCTTCAGGAAGAGGTAGATCATACTCCTCATACTAAGGATTAGAAAAGGGAGACACCAATGAAGCTGAAGCTTTATGAAGAGAACAACTGTAGCAGAAGAATGAATGGAAGACTGATTGGCGATCAGGGCCAGAATAAAATGAAAGATGGAGAGAAGAGCAACTGGAAAAGTCAGTGTGAGAGATGGGAGTATGGGTTGGAGGGAGGCCAGAGAGTTATTGAAAGCACAGGTGCCATGTTGGGTTTTCGAACTAGTATTTATTACTATTTATCCGGTGACTGTGCATTCCAGATTTTACATGTTTTGTACCTGAATATATTTTACATCTTTTAAAATGTTTGTTTTGGTCTGACTTGTATATCTCACCCAACTGCATCATTTTAGAGCACGCAGCTAAGGATGTAAAGAGGAGAGGCCTATAAATAAATAGGTGATGGCAGCTGGTGTTTTGGGGAGTCCTGGAGAAAGGCTGAACTAAGTGAAGGATCAGAATCCTATGGGGATTTTCTAGATACATCACAATTTGGTGGAGGCAGTGAGATATGTGATTACATATATGATTCAGATGTGATTACCCCATGATGATTAAACCTGTCAGGAAAATATCAGCGTGTGTCTTTGTACCTGCCTGGTGAAAAGATAAAAAGTATAGGGATGGGTATTAATTTTATTTTAGTTCATTTTTTGGGCAAGAATTTACCAAATTTAGGAAATATCTTCATATTTGGGATGGATAGAATTCAGTTTTTTAATGAATGTTGGAGAAACCAAAATGCACAGACATGTCCATCTGTGTTTTGGGCTTGGAGAGCTTAGCTCTTAAAAGTCTGGTTTTGAATCCTCACATACTTAGCCATGTCAGGGCTAGATTAGTGAGCCCTCTTTTTTTCTGAGAATATACAGCAGGCAGGTACAATGCAGTGCTCTCCATGTTGAGGGCAACAATACCTATTGAATGTGGCTCTTGTGAGTGGGCTAGAATTTTGCTCAGCTTATTTGTGATGAGAAGTTACCAGCATTCATGGACATCTTCATATCTGGATAGAAACAACTTGAGGTTTTAATAAAAATAAATGCAGGAGAAACAAATGGACAGATTCATCCATTAGGCAAGCACAGATGCACATAAATGGCAGACATATATAAGCTTCCATATAGCCTAAAGTGCCTGATCCTGTCTAATCTCAGATGTTAAGCAGGGTCAGGCCTGGTTAGAATCTGGATGGATGACCTGACTGTATGATTCTATGATTATTGTTGTAAACCAAACAGAGAGCTTTGGCTACAGATGGTATCCAAATGCAATAATAATACTTTAATAATGAAAATAATAGTAATAATAATAATGCTTGGGATATATAGTAATTTCCCCCAAGAACCTACTGGTTTTTACCAAATATCTGGTTGTGAATAGTTAAATTTCCCTATTGCTTTAAAGTGTCTTTTTATGCTGTGTTATTTTTATAATGAGACTTGATAAAATACCAAGAAGTAGGAAAGGGAATTCTGCAATCTGTAAACGAAACAGCTCCAAGCTCTGGTTCTTACCTCCAGTTTCCCGCCTCTGTTGTTGAAGCAACCTGTCAGGCTTTTGTCTGTGTAGGTGCTTCTGGCCATGTGGTTCAACTGTGTGTATTTATTGGGCACCTCGGCATCCAGACGGTAGGACAGATTGTGCAGGATACAAATGCAGTTTTCCACTGACTAAAGTAACAACAATAACCATTAATGTCTCACTTGCACCCTCATATCTGCCTCCTCTCCCTCCCCTCTTCAGAATCACTATCTTAACTGACCACTAGCACACATATGCCTTACACACCGCAGTTACATCCTTATATTTCAGAGGCCACCTTGGTTTAAAGACTAACCTTGTTGCACTAAATTACATTACCCCAAGGATAGATGTCCCATTGAAGTAATCGTTGCAAGTTCCCTGCTAGAAGATCATTTAGCATATTCCTGGAGCTACCCCAAATATTAGGAATTAATACTAAATGGTTTACTGTGTATGTTTTGTGTAACTCCCATATGGGAGAGAGAGACAAAGTGATTCATTTAAGTCAGTTTTTCAGATGCTTTGGACAAAAACTCATCATCCACAGCCAGCCTGCTTCATAGAAGTTGTACTCCTAAATTTCAGGAAAGCACTAAGATAAGTGATGACTGGTCTCACAATACAAAGAGGTTAGAGCTGAATAGCGACCTCCATGCATAAAAAGCAAGTTCCAGTTAAAGAACTTTATGAGGTCAGAGTTTTAGATAAGCTCAGTAGAATAGATAAATGCTTATACCTACACCCAATTTGATTCTATGCCATGCATCTATCATGACATAAGAAGTTATTGCTGAGTACAAGGATATCAGTTCTAACAGAGAAGCCTTCCTTCCTATGCATTTTTCACATTCCTTGAATTTAATGCTTCCCAGTCTGTTTCTTCTATTATGAGAAATTCAGTCCCTCGGAAGGAATAAACATTCTCTATTTTTCCACACAGCATTGGACTATGCATTGCACCTATTTACAAGAGAGATCATAGTAGTTGCTTGATTACCATCCAGCCTGAAGAAAAGTGCTGGAGAACTTGAAATCATGTTCATTATTTCATGACATTTTACCTGAACCTAATAATGCTATAATTTGACCATTATTTGTGCATATGGTAATTCCTGACCCATGGCTATGTATATACAACATACATAGTAACTTTAGTAACTTTCAAAACTTTGGAAGATGTTGGGTTGTATCCAATGGTTGCATGAATGGAACGCAGACTATTCAACCCATTTTAATCTTTTCCCTCATGCACCTTCCTGTGCCCCCTCCCCCTCCAAAGTGTCTCCACAGGGCCAAGGGACCTACTGACCACAGTTAGTTTTCCTGTATGGGACTGTACTTGGGATGGAGGAATCTCCTGAAATCAGGTGGAAGAACCATGTGAGAGCAGGGCTTCCAATGGAGCAAGATTCTCCCCACTCAGTTTTGGGGGTGGGGGTCTTTTACTCATGCAATCTTTGGATCCAACCAACCACTGTCAAAATGAAACTGGGTTTATTATTGCCAATACTAAGCAGGAACTATATCAGCTGTGAAGCATATACAAATATAGTTGTATGGGTCTTTGGTACCTTGTCATCGGGTCGGTTGGCTGCCACACAGTTCTGGGAATAAGCCATTACAGCATCAATCAGTCCAGGGTAGTTTCTCATGGTTTGGCGTCCAGCATCTGCTGAACTCAGGTTTCTACAAGGAAAAGATATTCAATAAATCAAAGGGAGGGGAATTCAAAGCAACTCATGTAGTTATTCTCTGCCTACATTCAAGGTCTAAATATAATTCTCTCCGATTCTCTTTAGAAATCAAATGCATCTGTAGAGATGGCATGGTGTATATCATATTGTACCCTGACAAAACATATCCACTCTAAAGAAATGATTATCTGCCAATAGATATTTCTAAAGAAGCCCAAGAAAAAGACAAAAAAGTATCCTAGAGCTATTTTAAATATTTTATTAATGGCATTTGTATACTGCTCCATATCTAGTCAGGTTCTGGAGAGGAGAAGAATAAAAAGACAAAACAGACAAAGAAAGAAAAGTGGTGTATCAAAACACGATAACATTAAAGCCATGGAAGAACAGCAAGGCTTCCTGGTCAGCAGCAACCAGGAACAAGATAGTAAGAAACATACATATTCACTAGGCCCTTGACATTCTTTGCAGAGCAGTTATAGAAGGAAAGACAGCTAGAGCTGCTCAGAAACCTGAACAGCTGAGAACAACAATGGAAGAATAGGAGGTGGTATAAGCCCCGTCCTCCTCCCGTCCTGCCTAGCTCTTGCAGGCAGGGCAATGGATAGGTGGAGAGCCCCAAGGCCAGAGGCCCCCCCCCCCCACTTTAATAAAAAACACAATCTATTGGATGATGGCATTGGTATTGTAAATATAGTTAATGCTTTGTTAATTTATGCTCTTTTGTTTAAATTGCTTTTTGAAACTGTTGTTTCAGTTTTTGTAAAACACTTTGAAATGTTTGATAAAAGGTTTATAAATGCAAAAACAAGATATTTCTGAAGGCAGTTGTAGGATAAGCTACAAAATTCATCTTGAAGCACTATTCTATGCAAGCTTGGATAGGAAAAATCCTACATGTCCCTAGCAATTGGACCTTGAGGTTTTTTTTTTCAATATGTTCAAAGAAACTTTAATTTTTTTCTCCCCAACCTACCTCAAGCAGCCTGTGGCATTGAAAAATACCTCAGGATCAACCATTTCTCTTGATCTGTTACTAACACCATCAGACCAGCCAGAAAAAGGAATAATAACACGATCAGTCAGAACAGGAAGAGCATCATTTATCAAATCTTCTTTCAGTTCATCAGTGGAGGACAGGTTCCACAGCAATCCTGGAAAGCAAATGAAAAAAGCACACTCCATGTAGATATCAGACAGCACGGGGGAAGGAACAGAAGCCAACAGGCACACGCTACAGTTCTCTGCCAGTGTTTTTCTAAAAATCAGGATATAGAAGATAGTTAAACTAGTAAGTATTATGAATGTTCTAAACAGCAATCCTACATATTCAGACACTCTCTAAGGGTGTTTAGGATACTGTGGATTTATACCTCCAAGACTGCCAAACCAATGACCTGATTTTCCACCCACAGCCTTCCTCCTAAGGTTTACAGTGGCCCCCTTTTCCTTGGAAGGGAAACAAATGGGTGTTTTGGGGAGAGCCTGTGGGCCAGGAGGGCCAGAGGACATAGATTCTTGAGATCCACCAGCACCTCAATTTCCATTCACTTCTGCAGGCTCAGAGGCTTGTATATTACCCCGCAGGCTTGTTCAGTCAAGACCATCTGAGTTTAGATCTAAGGATAATCAGGGAGGGACAAAATGGTTTGTCTGAAAGGTCATGTGCAGTTTATTGAACACGATCATGGAAAGTGGCTGCAGATCATAAACAATTATGCAAACAGAAGCTGACACTTATCCCTGAGTTGTATTTTAATTCAATGGTTCTTGCCCCAAGGGACTCTTAACTTGGATACTTGTGTGCTCCTCATCCCAAGTAAAAACAAAAACAAAGCCGAAGCTGAGAGGCTAGAGAGGTCTTTCCGCACTGCTCCAGAGGCTGAGGCACAAGCTAATCCCCTTTCCTATGCTACATGGCCAGGTTGGAGTGGAGGCAGCTGAAGTTGTTTCAATAAAACAAAGAGTTTTGTTTCTTCCAGCAAAGCAGCCTTTATACAAGAAATATAAATGGGGAAGGCAGCTTCAGGACAGTTCTCTCTCTCCCATACAGACCATAAAAATATACGAATAACCCTAATAAATGACCTTCCTCACTTTAAACACCAGAACTTCAGATGTCCAAAATATCACTGACATTACCAGATGTTGATGTAGCAGCAAAACCCTCTGTGATGTCGAACTGCAGTGGGGAAAGTACCTGTCAGCTGCTTCTGTATTTCTGTGTTCCCAGTTCTCCTCAGGAGGCTCACAGACTCTCGAATTCCGTTCTGCCGCCGTGTTTCTATCTTATTGGTGGGATTCCTGAAGACAAGGTTCCGAAGGGCCCCAGCTGATGCCTGCTGCACATTTTCATCTGGGCTACGGAGAAGTTCAATAAGCTTGGCTATGCCACCCAGTCGGTAGACCTAGGAAAGAAGGGATCACAATGCTCACTGATCAAACAAGGCTCCATAGAAAGTTCAGTTGTTCCTTTCTACAATTTAAAAAAAAATCCATGTTAAAAGTTAAACATAAAGCATGATATATACCCCGTGAGTGTTAACAGTGTTGAATCCCTGTAAGCTATTCTGAGCTGCTCTGCCCCCTTGACAGATGAATAAGTTTCTGGAGAGGGACTTTGTTAGGATCAAAGGAAAGAAAGTGTTTTTCTACTAATCCTAGTTCATCTCCCCTCAGATCAGGTTTCTTTCACTTCAAAGTGGTCAGAGTCCTTAAAAACCTGCGGCACTTTGGGGTGGCAACGAGGGAGGGGAATGAGGGTTTGGAGATATGCTCCATAGGATGCAGCTTATGGTTTGCGTCCCCTTGCTCTACTTCTCCACCAGATAGAAGGTAGCCATGGCCAGAAACCTGCTGAGGATGGACCATCCAGCAGGGAACTACTGACAAGAGTAGTTGGAGTCATGGAGCTGCTCATCTTTCCCATGCAATTTGCGTGTTCACCAGCCTTGTGCTCTGGCTTAGACAATGATGGAGCCGCGAAGGAGCAGTAGATGCTACTGCTTAGCTTCTCCCTGGCACTTTGTCCATCAGGCAAGTGGGAGCAATGATGCCAAGGAGGATGAGGAGCCAGAGCAATTAGTGGCAATGGTGATCAGAAAGTAGTCTCACCAAGGAAGGGGGGGCATTGTCAAAAAACCTTTAAAAAACCCGGATCTGATAGATTTCTCTGCCTCTACCTAGGATGTCTGAAGATCTCAAGGGCTCAAGCTCTGTCTCATCTGCCATTTTTCTTTAGTCACTTCCAGCTGCTGCCCTCAAAACATTTCCTGACGGTAACAGTCATCACTATGCTCATTAAGAAAAAATACTAAAATGAAAACACAGTGTTCCAGAAGTAAACAGAAACCACTACATTGTAGTAGGTAGCTTTATTTTACTAACAAGCAGATAAGTTTGATGGCTCCACACTGGAAAGAATGATGATAGTAAATCTGCATCCAGAACAGATTTTTTCCCTAAACCGGGCCAGATAATTGTTGACCTGTTTGTCCTGAGTAGATCTTAGAAAAGGTATATGTCCATGAAGACAAAATGCTTATGTTATTCTGGCATGATATACATAGCTAAGCTAATTGTTTTGATGGGATTTTTCCCCTCATGCTCCAGTTGTCAACATATATTGATAATTTGAGCTTTTCTGTGAGAGCTTAACTAAACCCTCATTTACCTTCAGCAAGGTTTGCAAAACTGGCTCTTGTTAAGCTAATTTCTTCAAAGGTACAAAACTGAATTTAAAGGTGAATGCTGACACATTCAGGGCACAATCTTATGCTTGTTAATGGCCTACATCCCCTCACCCACTACTCCCAGCATGCCCCAGCCAGGACTTCTTCTTTTTGTCTAAAATTTTATTTTGTCTAAATACATATAAGAATGCATCTGTACAGAATTTGTCTTATGGTTTGTTACAGTTGCCAATAGTTTAGAATTCATGTATTCAAAATTTTAAGATTTTTGTTGAATTAATTCATAATAAAATGAATAAAACTATATGTTACCATCATTTCCTAAAAATAGCCACTAATGTAATTCTCCATGTGGAAGATAAATGCCTTTGTTTTAATTCAAATAGTCACATGTGAAATTACCCTAAGATGTTGATGCTTTTAGCAGTTGTAAGTAGTACAGCTAAATTAGGCTCCTGTAACTCGAAGTGTATTTATTGGTCTACCCATTGCATGCAAGGCCAAGGTATTATAGTACCTCTTATTGTTGAAAGGGCAAGATTCCTCTTCCCAATTTGGCCCCTTTCTATTTCTGTTGGAGCAACAGGAAACATGAGTTCTGACATAATACCACATATTTAGGCATCCACCACAAAACCACAAAAAGCTGAAACATTGTGCTGAGGATAACATTACCTCCTGCTTGGCAGATTCATCTTGAAAACAGGTATGCTGCAGGTAGTAAGCACCCATGGCCTGGTACTTCTCATCTGATGAACACAGGAGTTGGATGGCTTTCTGGATGGTCATTGCTCCATAATCAATCTCATCATTGCATATTCTAAATACAGAAAGAAAAAAAGATCAATTTTAAAATAATCACATAATCAGACCACTGACCACACTGACTGGTGCTGATGGGAGTTGTAGTCCAAAACATCTGGAGGGCACCAGCTTGCCTGGTACTGTCTTAGGCCTCTGAGTCCCTTTCAGTCCCATTATTTATAAATACACTGTCTGAGTCTGGACCTGGGTGCCCTGCTCTGTATTGGTTCCACCCAAATAGGGATAATGATTCTAGAAGATGCTGCTCAGCCCCATATCGATTGTCCTGCAAAGTTCTATTCTTTACCCCATTCAATTTAACTTCTACATGAAACCACTGAGTGAGCTGAGGACACCCAGGTTTATTCCTCTTTTTTTTTAAAGCCAAGAAGAGCAGTGGGCATTCTAAATTGCTGCCTATATATAGCAGTGGGTTAGATTAGGGTCAATAAACAAAGATTCAACCAAAACAAAGAAGTGTTAGTGTGGGGGGTCATCCACTCACCTGACTGATTTTCATTCCACTTTGGAGGGTTGGATTCCCCCTGAAGGTTCACAATTTGAGTGAACTGACTGACTCAACACTATCTGTTGGAGGCTTGGTTAGACTCTGTGGCTCATAATGGGTGGGTCATCAGCTTGGGCTAATAAACCAGCTGTGACCCTACATAGGCAGAGACAGCCTTGCTAAAGTTATCCATGCTCTGGTAGACTTCTATTAAGATGGGTGTAATGGAAACTGGAATAATCTGGAAACTGCTTCTGCTCTAAAATATGGTAGCAGGATCACTAACTGGGACTGGATGATTTAATCGTATTATACCAGTGCTTTGATCTCCTCACTGGTTTCTTTTTCATTTCAGTACCTAAGTCAAAGTGCTAGCTTTAATCCTTACTGCTCTAAATAGAATAAAGTGATTAACCTAAAAGATCATATCCTCCCACACATTTCCACCAAAAGACTGGGAACAACTTTGGAGGACATTTTTCTTTTGTTCCCACCAAATGAAGTATGATGGGAAGCTATCAGGCAGAAGTCCTTCTCAGTGGTAATACTTTTTTTTTGGTAAATGAAGACTTTAAAAAAATCAGGCTTTTGCTGACTTTGTAATGGTTTCTGAAGATTCAAAAAGTTGCATGAGCTTGTAGTATTTAGAGTTTACAGTTTTTAAGATCTGCTTGTGCTCCATGAAGATCTTACTGAATTTGACTAATTTTATTATTTATTATCTGTTGCCTAATTGTATGCTGGTTCTGAATTTTTACAGCATACAATGTTTTGTTTTTGTTTGATATTATTGCAATTAATGCAGAAAACTCAATGTTGGGTAGCATACCAGCATTGTTACCAACCAGTGTCTTGGTTGCTTCATAGCAAGATAGCATAAGATCCACTAGAGAGGCTTAGAGACTGATAGAAAGGTACAGGAACTATGCACAGGGCAAAAATTGTATATTGCAAGCTCTGCCTTAAGATATTTTTTCCAATTCGCTTTCTTGATAACATTGAATAATTATATACTCTGCTGATAGAACATCATAAACCAGATGGGATCTATGACTAGATCTATGTCTCTCTAGGACTTTTGAACTCTATGGTACAGTATGGTACAGTACGGTACTCTACTCTGCTCTGATGACAGAGAAGAGTTAACAATAAAAGTTCTAAATATATAACATGTGAAATGTTAAGATTAGAACAACATAAATTACATAAAAATTAAAATTCCTACTACCTCCCTGTCAAAAAATGCATTCCATCCTTCTGCATCATATTTGGAGAACACCACTCCCCATTATGAAAATGGTTTACTTCCATGGAAGGACTGTACCAAATCTTTAACTCAATTGTATCCTCCTTAAACCTGGTTTCTTTTTTAATTCCATTTTAGTATAAAACCATTCTTGCCCTAATATTAATCAAATCAACCTTATCTAACCATACTTAAGGCAGGTAATATAGTCAGACCATCCAGCTTTAATGGAGGCCATTGCATTTCCTATAACAGGAGTGGACAACTTGTGGCCCTCTGAATGCTTTGGCCTACAACTCCCATCAACCCTAGCCAGCACAGCCAATGGTAAAAGATAATGAGAGCTGTAGGGCCAAATGACTAGGGCCAATGTCAAGTGCTGGCATGGTTGGGCACCTGCACTGAGACCACACCTCCTCAACCCACCAGATCAATGATCAAAAATAAATTTCTAGAGTTATGGAAATGGAATGCATGTAAAAGGAACTCCTAAGTGCAATGTAAAACCAGTTCTTAAGAGAGGTGCCTTCACTTCAGAAATGGAACAAGTGTATTATCAGGTAGACCTTCTCTGCATGGAAGCATCCACCTATCATGCTAATGCAGTGGCTGAGTCTGTCGGCTTTCTACTGCTGCACGAAGAGTGCTGAGCTCACACCCTTGGAGCTGGCTTCTAGCAGGGTTTGTCTGCTGCTCTTCAGGAAGGCCGGTACCCTTTCTATTGTCCACAGGCTCCATGTTCATTGATGTTATATATTTTATAGTATTTGGATATTTATTATTTGGTTTTTTTATTTGCTTTGCATTGTTTTAAATGTTATATGGCAACTTGAGAAAGTTCAGTCCTTAAAAACAACATAAAAACCTTTCAAATTATTAAAAAAAAAAAAACCGAGTATCCCTCTAATTATGTTGTGTTGTATTGATGATCTAGCTGTAATGAATCAATTTTTCTCAGCTTTCACAGTCATGTACCTCTCAACATCATCACAATTCATAAGGGCGATCACCATTCCATTCATTTTCTTACAGAAGGAGGAAACTACGTTTTCAAGAATGAGGGTGTTCCACAGTTGTGTAATGTTACAGGAAAGGCACCCAACTGAGTACTGAGCAGAGAGTCCAGCAACACAGGAATCTCATCTTTTAGTGTCTAGAAAAGCATGGGGTAGCAGTTATACCTGAGAAAATAGGCTTGCTATGGGTAAGAACTGGTGAGACTTCCAAAGATACAGGAGCTGGCTTTCTGGGATTTCTAGCAATTAGGGTACAGGGCCAACAAACATAGTTCCTTTTCCCTCAGTGCTTAGCATTGCATGCAACCTTTCCTCCCTTTGTGAAAAGTAGGTGGGGCTGCAGCAGAGCAAAGTATTACCCCCACCCCCATATGGTTCCCCGTCCACTCATAATTACTAGCTTTTGGTTTAACAAAAATTAACTAGTTATAAGGAAGCTTCCCATATTCCTAAGCATTTGTACTGATTAAAGCTGGGTGTAGTGGAATGCAGAGGCTTGGACACAGCTGGCATTTTTGAAGGATTGTCCAAGGTGTGAATGCTTCTTTTAGTAAGTCATTCTGTATCATAAAAGTATCTCAGGGTGCAGGGTTTCGAGTGAGGCTCTGAAGCTGCTGGATTGTCTCCGGAAGCTGCTCCTCCAGAAAAGAAAAGGCAACTGTTTGATGACTTCTTTTGCAGAATACTAATAACATAAGCTACCCATTCCATTCTCTACTTTCCATTATTGCCCAACTTCCTGTACATCTTTTTCCATTGTCCAGATTTTGATGAGTTGCCTAGCTACACATGGACATGGCCGGGGAAAAACCCATTTTCTTGGTTTGAATGTGGGAGCAAACTTTGAAACTATGTGTGCTACTCAGAGTTGTCATCAGAAGCTGTGGGATGTTGAGGGAAGAGGACAATTTTTCTGGTGGAAAGGCAGGTCTGTCTGGTATGTTTGTCACAAGCCCCAGATGTTCTGCCTTCAACCTCAGGCAGAGGATGTCAAATCATCCACCTGGGTTTCTTCTACCAAAAAGCCAAAATGTATTATGTTAGCATGATAATGACTCCAGATCTGGAGTCAGTGGTCTACATGGATGGGCGGTTGCTAATGGTCCAAAAGTTCAGAAGATCCAGCTGTAGCTGCCAGCATCCTCCTTGCCCTTATTTTTCTTACCTTTTGAGTGCAAATGATCTGAAAACAAATATGGGACTGCCTTTGTGCATGTGTGTGTGGGGGGGGGGGCAACATGGTAATGATGGCACAGGGCAGTTATTAGATCACTCCTGTAGCCAGGTCTTACCGAAAGGCAGCTTCTGACTGGTGCAAATTGCTGCCACTCAAAAGGTAAGTAGAAAGGAAAAAAAAACAAACACAGATGCAAGGTCCTGAAAGACTGGCCAGTCCCTACAGCATTTTGCACAGTGCTCTGCAGAGCAGGGGAAGGGAGAGGGGGGAGAAGGACCTGCCACTGCTACTGCCACTGCCACCTTCCTCCCACCTCCAGGTTAAGAGACAAAGGGAGGTTGGGGTGGCAGGGTGGGGACTTCAGTGGCAAAGTGGCAGGACCTGTGGCAGCTCTGGACTTATGGCACAGTCGAGTCTAGTGCCAGTGCTGTATAATTCTGTTTGCAAATGATTAGCACATCCACCTTTCAGGCATAAGTATTTGTAATTACAGCAACATGATTTCAAGGGGAGAGCTAAGCCTCAGTGAAGAAGATGGTACCTACCTACCTGGATGAATAGTTGCCAAAGAACTGGCACTCTGATCTGATCAAGGGTGCCCATAGTTTTTACCAAAATGATTCAACTTGTAGCTTGAATTCATCAGCAGTGCTCTCCTATACACGGCACCATGGGACCAAACACCATAGAACTCATAGAACTGAGTAGACAGAACATAAGGTTTGTCTTGTGTTCTCATGTTGCATTCTTTTCACACAGCATCACACTAGCTGCCCTCCAGAAACATACATGCAGGACATGAATGAAAGGATGCCTCCGTGCATCTAATTACGTCTGTAAATTCCTGATGAAATTTATACATTTCCATACATTTTGGATAAGTGCCAAGCATCCATTTTCCATTAGTCCCTTGTGCTGGATCACTAGCTCAGGGCAGGAGCCCCTTTTCCTCCTCCAGGCCTCTCTTTCCCTGCTTTCCAACCAATACTTCCATCACCATTCCATCTCGTTTTCCATGTTTTTTTTCTTTTTCTGACCATTCTCTCTACTTCTTGTCTACGCTCATCAC